GGCTCCGTCCATGTTAAAATATATTTTAAAAAAATTACAAAACAGCCTACAGTATTTTTACAGTCTTTATTTTATAGTTAAAATGTATGTTTATCGAATAAAGTCTAATGTTACAACTAATCAGGGATCCCTTTAAAGGTCTGCATATGCACGGTTTTCCTTCAAGAAATGCRAGGCTTTTAAATGTCTACATGATAATTCAGCACACAGCTACAGTCAGAGTTAATAAGAGTGGGAGGTGTTTGTTCAAAACTGTTTTACACTGTTACATTACAATTGTCRACTGTCGTTTAGTAAACTGATAAGTGCTAATACATGCAACTCAAAATTACAAAAAAAAGTGCAATCAATGTGAAATGCAAAACTTCAGGCAACACCTTTAGGCATTTTCTCATTTTTAGAAGCTGCCAATCCATAAATTACACCTCTTTTGTCAAGCACAGCKTTTACTCAGCTTCAGTGGCATGACACTTGTTTATCAGGAAAAAAAAACTATACAACAACAAGCCAGGCATTGTTGGGATGTTACACCATCATCGCAATCTCATTATACTGGAGGGGACATTTTGTTTATGCTCCATCTCATCAAATATGCATAAARTGGAGTATTTTCTGGGACACCACCATCATCTAGCTTCATTTCAGAAAGGCACTATATTTATGCARGCATTTTTTTAAACTAATGGTGTCGAGGTATAACATGTTTACTCGTTTGTTTTGCATACTGTCCCACATTCAAGAGCGTGTTGTTTCAAAAGAGAACTTAACCTGGAGGACACGACTGCCTGTTAACCCTTTGAGGTCTGATGTAAAGCATACAGTACGTGTGCCCAAGGGTTGACAACAAGGCAGGGATAAGTCTTTAGCCAGTTTACCTCAGCTGACCTATGATGTAATGTCCAGTAACACACACACACAGGCTTTACTAAACTACCTTGGATAATCTGTTCAGAAAGTTGCAGGTTTCATGTYATGAGATAATATATGCACAGTTTATAAAATCAATCAGTTCCCTTTGCATTTAAAGCAGTTTTACAAAAAAAAAAAAAAGCATTCAATTTGCATCCATGTTGTTGATTTCAGGTTAAAATCTGCATGACTCCTCCCGCCGTCCTGCCTTAAAGCAGCCAATGAGAGACAGTCAAATCCCGCAGGATAAAACACAGATGTGAGGTTTCCCTACTGGGAGCAGACAAATTAAGAAAAGGACACAGTGGACATGAGGGATGGAGGAAAGCTGGTGGTGGTGGTGGGAGGGTATCGTCTGGACCCCCGACAGCGTCCCTAATACGAGTGCCATTAAACACATTAGGTCCAGATGTGCAGAACACATGGCGCAAAATCTTGAAAAGAGGACAATCTGTCAGAACGAGAAGGAGGCCCAAAGGAGAAATAACACCGCAAACAACAACAGACGAGACGTTCAAGAAAACAGAGGCAGCAATTAAAGCTAGAAAGCTGCTTTATTCACAGAGGGGCTGAGACTCCTGGATCTAAAAGACTCGGGATGTGTAATCAGCTTTACTGCATGGCTGACCAAAGGAAGCGGCTTACCAGAAACTACACACAAAGATACGGACACCTTTTAAGAAGTTAGCATCTTTGAATGTGAGAGAAACACCCTTCGGGGAGGGGAGTGCGTCGGTCAAATAAAAGGGAGTTCAAAGCAAATTATAAGGCCAAGCTTTTTTTAAAGGAATGCATGGAGTCGACTTAAAATAGTATTCAAATATGTCCGATGATTATTTTCTGACTTTAGACTTTAAAATCTATTTTGCTACCAGACAAATAGAACTGGTTCCAACAGTTAAAAGGAACATATCATGTAAAATCCACTCTTTTAGCTGTTAAATGCATTTTGTTGTGTACTTAGCACAGCGGTTCTCAAACTGGGGTCCCTGGACCCCCAGGGGTCTGTGACAGGTATCTTGGAGGTCCTCAAAAATTTTATTAAAATGTTAATTTGGTTTTTAT